GGCACACAAACACACAGATATGTGTGTCTCCATTTAAAAACCAAACTCTTTGGAGAGGCCAACACATCCTAAAAGAATGAATTCCAGGTATTGTGTGAGTGTGTATGTGCGCAAGTGTGCATCTGTCTGTGTTATACTTAGGCCCGGCTGAACCACAATAGGAGCTCTTGAAAGCAGAATTACGGAAGCAGAGAGATGAGAAAGATATAAAAATATATCAGGTAGCTTTTGTAGCTGCAATTTGCTTTGAAGCTACTGGCCTTCTATGGTTTAATTACACACATCTTTCTTCCTTTGTCTTTTTGGAGAGAGGACCAGGGTCGTATAATGTGGTGGGTGCTCACTGAAATTGGGTTCAGTGAAGCTCCTGTGAACAGAGCATGTTGGAAATGCCAGAGTTAGTGCCCCAGAAACAGCTCTCAACCAGTGACAAACATCGAGCTGGTGGAAAAACATGTAGGATGCCCCATCTCTTGACTGGATAACTGTGAGATGTGGCCTACATTGTCTCCTAGAGTTGTTCTGTGAGATTGGCTCAAGCTGTCCACAGGGGTAACTGGCTTCACGACACACCGTTTGCCTTCCTTCCTTTCTCTGGCTCACTTTCCCACTCTCCTGTCTGTTTCCCTAGACCACATCTGAAAGAAATTACTTGCTCTTGAATCCTTATTTCAAGGTTTGCTTCTGGGGGAACCCAAATCAAGATAGGTGTATATAGTGGGCAAAGGATGAATTTTAAAAGGGAGGATTTTGAGTTATAAATAGAAGTCCCTAGCTGAAGAATTTTTTGGCAACTCCAGACCTCATGTACTTCCTATTAATAAGGTCATACTCTAAGTAAAGTACTCGGGTGAATCCATGTTTCCTCACTTGTTCTACCACGTTCCCGTCACTTCATGGAAGTAAGATTCACTCTTCTCAGGCCACTATGGTTTTGCAAATTGCTTTAGGCTGTTAGCATTTGTGACAGCTTGTGGCTTTGATTACCCACCCCTTGCTGCCACTAAGGAGGGCTGAGCTCACTCACCCAAAGGAGGTTAAAATGGAAAAAAAATATAGGTTAAAAAATGAAATTAGCAGCACCACACAAATGAGGGGAAGGCACAGGAAAGAGGTGACAGTAATTTTCTTTTGGAGGACAATCCTTACAGCCTTTATCCTTTTGAGTCATGAAACTATCACAGCTAGTATCATGGGATAAAATTTACATAATTTCAGAGATATGCTATAAATTTGAACAATGTTTAAAGCCTGGTAAGAAAGGAGTTTGCTAAGAACATTAGCAACAAGCTATCTAGTGTTTTATTTAATACACAAAACAAACCAGTGTTGACTTTGTGGATGTGGTCCTGACTCAGAACTAGAACATTCCCACATTGCTATTCAAATTACTAGCAAGAGGATGCTGCCTAATTGGCATCTTAATTGCAAAGATATCAATCAAAATTATATTCAGGACAGGAAAATACTTCTATTTCTGATGAAAAAAGGAGGTATCATTTAATGATGGAATGGGTTTAATAAATTCATTTTGCCAAAATAATAGATACGAGGAAAAAATAAAATTTTTTAGTCATGATGCCATATTTCCTGGAGAAAGAGAGAGAGAGAGAGAGAGAGAGAGAAGAGAAAGGTAGCACTTGAAATGAGGACAAGAACTAGCTGAGGGCTGGCTTGAATGGGGTGGTCTCTGCTTTTGGATCAGAGCCAAGAAACAGCTTGTGAAGCTTCATGGAGATGGTGACAAACAGTCCCAGGCCTCCCAGAGAGCAATTAAGAATAATTGGATAAAACTGGTGGGGGAGGGGGCAGGAGAGGGAGGAAGGATGAGAACTTAGTTGGTTATGAGAACAGACAAGATCCCATGGTAAAAGGTTTGCCATATGCTCCAATCATGTGATAGAGATGCTGCTGAGAAATACAGCATCATCCTTTGTCCATATTTACTGAACAGAGTAAAATTTTGGTTCAAAGTTCCACTGTTCCTTTATGTTATTTTCAGGGGATATTGTTGGTATCCCACTAAGATCCCTTTCACCAGCTCTGCATGCCCCTCCCTAGCTTCTGAGTGCTCTTCTGCTAATGGTTTGCAACTGCCACCTTCCCAGATTTGCCCTTTAGCTCTGGACCTAGAGGTCTAGAAATGCCTTGGCATTTGACTCCCTCTCTCCTCCATAGTAGAAATGGATAAAATACAGAATTCCAAGTTAAGTTTGACTCTCAGGTAAATAATAATTTTAATTATAAGGATGTCCCAAATATTGCATAGGACATACTTATATTAAAAATTTTTTTTTCAAATTCAGATTTCCCTGGGCATCCTATATCTTTATTTGTTAAATCTAGAACCCCTATACAAGTGAATCCATTATCAATGACTGACTGGAACGGGAGGTGTAATGGTCCAGCTTCTCAAAATGGAAAAAGCTCAAGGATATGATTCCTGCTCCAGAGTCCCCTGCAGGATCAGGCTGAGTCCTCAGACTTAGATCCCACCCAAGGTAACACCATTGCTTAGCTTCTTCCCTTTCCTTGTTCTGCTTTTCCTGCTTCCTTACTAGTTTCTCTTGGAATCATTTGATAAATCACTTGCTTATGAATCCTTGTCTGAGGGTCTGTTTCTGGGAGAGCATGACTTAAGATAGAGATCTCCCAAATCATACCACAGCGGCAAGCCATCACAACTTAGAAGGGATTAGGAATCACTGCCTTGCATAGCATTCTGTTCATTAGCTATTGTTTATGTTTCTATTCTTTTTTAAAAAATCTCCTTTGTCTCATGGGTCAAGCCCCTAGCATTCAGTGAACAGCCATTTGACATACTCTTCTGAGAGGCTGCTGGACTTTCCCTAACCCATTCATACTTTCCCCTGCTTTGAAACTACTAAGAAGAAATAAAGTTAATCAAACATCTGATAAAACATCATTTTCACTCTGATATGATGTGAGTTTTTCAAAGGAATGCCCAAGCCCAGCTCCTCAAGGAAAAGACCAATGAACATGAAAAAATATGCATTGTGGAGGAGAAAGGGGAATAATTGCTAAGCTGGGCCAGGTAATAGACCAAAGGTATGGGATCTTATAATCTCTTTACATGATGGGAGTTAAGAAAAGATGGGCCATTTACTGCCCACTTTCTAAAGAATCATTTTAGCATAATAGAATTCATCTCCCTGTGGCAGTCCATTAATGAGTCATCATTGTGATAAATGTATGTTCCAGAAAAAGGACATTTTGCTCTACTGATCTCCTGAGCATCTTTATTTCGTTCTTAATGGGAAAACATTGTTATTGGCATGCTTAAACCAAAGCATCCCTGTCTACTATATTCTTATTATCTGTAGACCATTTCAGGTATTTACAATTTTAAAAATGAAGTCTACTTAGGGACTTTCTTCCAGGTTACAACAAGTACAAGAAACCCCTGGGTCAATACACTAATATTTGGTGAAAAATGTCTATATGGCTTTATAGTTTTATGGTTATTTATACCTAGCAGTAGATAAGACACAAGGGATAAACTACTGGCATAAAGGTATACGATAATGGAAAGCATGCCCCTTATTCTTGTCGAGTAACTGTAAAACAAATAACTTAAAATGGCATAATCTAACTTTGTTTGTTAGGATAATAGCCTTTTTGTTTTTTAAAGAAGGAACTGTCTTTCTTCTGTTTATATATATTGTCCCTCTTAAATACTAACCTGAAGTGTAAGCCAAGATGGCTTATCCATAGAGTCCCAGAAGACTGATTAAAAAGAGCAACACTAAACTAGCTGCTTATCATCTCCAAATAGTTTCGATAGTTGTTATCTCAGAGCCAGGAGTCCAACAATCAAAAACAAAAGCAAAATTTTTATAGAAAGTTTTTGCAGGACACAGCATGTACCTTCCCCAAGGGAAGGCAAATGAAACTATTTCAAGGACAAAGGCAACCATGGTTTAATTTTTTTTTTATCATAAAGAAAATATATCTGCAGTCTTGAAAATTTGGAAAATACTGAATACAGTGATGATCTTTTGAAAGTGGATGAAAAATAATTTATTTTATGGTTCCTTGTATTTTTTTTCTGTGCAGTTTTACATAAAATGATACTTGCTTGCAGAAATGCTACAGAAAAAAAAGAAACAACTATGTAGAGTTACCATTAAAAAAACCAATAGTCAAATGAATGTCCCCTCTTGAGAAATTTGCTGTCCATATTCTCAAATTAATTACAGGAAAGAATGTAATTCTGCTTGCAGAACTTAAGGAGAAAAGTCTGCCAGTTTTACTACCTGGCTTAAAAGAATTACTGCAGCTCCAAGCAAATAAAAGGGAGTTAACACTTGGATAAACCAGAGAAACATGACTTTGTTCTCATCTCTAGCTTTGTACTATACTAATCACAAAAATAAGCCTTGACTTATGCCCCAATGGGATAAAGAGAATCGAGCCTGATATGAAATAACTAAGCTCTTGGCTATCCTTTCTATTTCTCTTTATTTTTCTTGACAAGTGATAGCTCTGTGCACAGGAGATTCTTACTTGGCCCCACTGATAACCAGTCAGAGGAGGTGAAACTAGAAGGAAGTGGAATTTATGGAAAATTCTCTCAGGCAATTCAATTGATGAAAATATTAATAATTTTTAAAAACTGCAAGGAGTGTATATGACACTTAGAGGTTTCTTTTTTTCAGAAGCTTAAACGGAAAAAGATTTAAAGAATTAATGAAAATAATTTACTTTCCCTGTACATTCCATTTGAACTGCAGCCCTGAATTTCAAAACGTAAAGTTTCATCCCTGAAGATGACAAAATGATTCCAATAGCTGTAATTCCAGAATGAAGGTAAGTGCTTTTCAGTTCAACTAAAAAATATCCTCTTGACTTTTCGTATTATGTGCTAGGAGTTCTCTCTAAGTGGTAATACTTTACAGATACTTAGAAGTCCTGTTTGGACGGAAATATATCAACCATTTCCTCAGACTATACCATTGCCCAATCTGTATGCAACTTACCTGTCTGAACCAATGGCTGACTTTAAACTCTGAAAATTTTGGCTGTCTAGGTCCAAGCTGTAGCTCCGCCCACTTTCAGTTTTTGAGGTTATAATTTCTCCTCTGGTTGCTGATCTGAACTTGCTAAGAAGGAATCTGAAATTATATATATATGTATGTATTTAAAAGTATAATAAGAAAGAAAGCATTTAAAATTATCATTTCGAGAATACAATTCCTAGTACTTTCAACAATAAATGATTCTTCAATAAAGTAGCTTTGGGGCTGAGAGATTCTGGGGAGTTCCCCATACCTCTGAAGTACAGTGTCAAGGTGGTAATGGAAGAGGTTATGACATTATCCCAAGATCATACCATTTGCTGATAAACTAGGCCTCTGTCCTTGCTAAGCAAAAGACCACCTACTTCGGGAACTTGGCACTGTCACCTGAGAATGGAAAAGAATTGCCTGGGCTGCACCTGTTTGCAGGGTTACTGAGTTTAGAGAGTTTGAACTTAACTTGCTTGGAAGAGGGAGATAGGATGATCCTCTGGGATGAACTGGGGTATAAACTTATTAGATTGCAGCTCCATGACAGCAGTGACTCTGCCTTTCTTGTTTCCTGCCAGATCCCTTGAGCCTAGGATGATGCCTGGCACATACTAGAACCCAATCAATTCTTGTGGAATGAGTGACTAAACTCATGTGGTGAAAACCATCTTTATATCTTCCATGACATTTCTCCCTGTGGTAATGAAGTTTGAACAATGGATGAAATCTGATTGTGTTCCCATTTTACTAAATTATTTGGAACTTAAACAAAAACAGCTTTTCAGGAACCAAGATTCAAGTCCTGAATCAGGATACCAAGTGCCCAAAACATGGGTGTTTCCAAATGCACTTTAATAAAAAAACCAAAGCTATATTATTTTTTGTGATAACGTTGAGAGAGATCAGTTCATTTAGTCTACAATCTATAGTTTTCTAGGGGAAAAATGGATTCTGAAAGTACTGGCACAATCTTAAGTTGTCTTTTTCAAAGACCCCTGGAAGAGTGTCATTGTCAAAGTGTCAGAAGCTTCAATCAACTGGAAAACTAGATTTTCGGGTGAGAATAGCACTTAATACAATATCAATCTATGCTGCTCTGAGAATCACCTTGTACATGTCCCCACCTCTGCACCTCTACTTGGGGTGTCTGCTCCATCTGGAATCACTCTTCCTCATTTTTGTTATCCTGAGCCCCATCCATCTTTCAAGCTCCTCATCAAGTCCCACTTACAATTCAAAGTCTTTCTTGATTGCTCCTGTGCCCTCCTGGCCTTTCTTCTCTAGCCGCTCATTTAATACTTAATCATTTATTGCCTTGTGACATCTCTTGTAGTTAATTAACACTCTGCCTTGTTTTTAAATGGTTTCAGGCAGCTCATGATGCCATCTTATTTTTTCCTGCAATTCTTTTGCATTTATTAACTATTCAGGTGTGTATCTTTTCTCTCCAACTAGATGTTATATTCCTTGAAGACTGAGAACCATCAGATCCCAGTTTTGAGTTCCAGTAGGGCACAGCCCAGGGCTGTGATGGTTTGAATGATTCAGGATTTGTACAGTTCATTGTGCTGGTGAGTTAGTTATTATCTCCCAGCGCCAAGCCACCATTCTATAACCCACTCTGTAATGCCTGGGCTGGGGTCTGCAAACTACAGCTCCTAGAGGCACTTGTGGGTTCTGACTTACTTATTCAATCAAGCCTTTGATTGCTTTTGATGAGTCAGGCACCATGCTAGATACTATAACACAAAAACATAGAAGCCACTGGTCCAGCACTAAAGAAGTTTACAATTATGTGTCTGTTGGGGGGGGGGGGGG